CTAGAAGCAGCATGGGGCTTTGAAGCAGGCAGAGCTAGGGGTGAAAACTAAATCCAATACCCCCTTGTTGTGTGTTCTCAAGCAAGACGTTAACACTCATTCATTTTTTAAAGAAGTGTGTACCGAGTGCCTGCTATATACAAGGAACTTTTGTCACTGTTAATTCCTCATCAGGCAAATGGGGATAATGATATTGCCTACCTCTTAAAAAGCTCCCTACTGAGACCACATGTATTAAAGGATCCCCATGTCTGTTTTCCCAGCATCCTCTGTTCTCACAGCTTTCCTAGTTCCCATCTCAGCAGCATTGTAATTATCTTTGTGTCTGTTTATTAGACTATGAACTCTATGAACCTGTGACAAAACCTGAGTTATATCATGTGTGCCCACCATGCCTGAAGCTAGTGCTCTGGAAGCACTCAGTAAACATTAATTCCATGAAGAATATGGAACATTCTATATAGTCAATAGAGTTTAGATGCTATTGTAATGATCTTTTGTTAACTAGTGGTGATTTATGGTAAATGAGGACATCCGTCAACTCCCATTTCCTTCATTAAGAGAAGGGTCTATGTCTTTCAGCCCCATAATTTCCATAGCTTCCTGATTCTTTTTGATTCTTAGAGTGTCTGTTAGTGTCATTTTTCTCAAAATGGGATTGACCTGAGTAATTATTAACAATTTCCTGAATGCAGAATGGGTATATACAGCATGCCGATTAGAATATTTTCTTTTGTTAAGTAAAATATACAGATATCATTCAAGCTTACATATTTAAGGATGTGTACACAGTGACTAATGGACTTGTCAATTACAGGTAAGCACTCTTGTACTCACAAGAGAGAGTTCTGGGTTTCCTCCAACTTCTGCAACTATGCCTCCTCTGTCTAGTGCACATTTGTGCTATTCCTCTGAGAACTTCCTTTGCACTCCCATTTTTGTAGACAAGACAAGGACTATATTTCCTTGATCTTCATAGATCCAACATGCAGGCTATTGGTTGAAACCTGATAAGCATACTACTGGTTGAATTAGTTAATTAACCTTAGCAATGACACTGATAGGAAAAGAGCCCCCTGACCCACTCTGGAGTTATTAAAATCATGTCCAGTCACTGTTATCACCAATGTGTAGCTTTGTGAAGCAGATGTCAGATTAACTCTTCTGACAAGCAATGAGGTGGTAAAGGGGATTTCTGACTCCTTATACTGAGACAGTGCACATGGGAATTATTACAGAATTTACCACACATCAAAGGTGCTTTTCCCAGATCTTGATCATTCACAAGTCATCATTATAATTTATGTATGCCCAAATACCACTAAAAGAGTTGATTAGTATTTCTATTATAATACCCTAACTCAGGGTCATGTGTACTCTAGGCAAGCATTCTACCACTGATCTATAGCTGCAGCCTAAAATTATCTAAACTTTTAATTTAAATTCATTTCTGTGGTGCTAGGGATTGAACATAGTGCCCTACACATGCTAGATAGTGCCGCAGTCCGGCTGCAGCAAAATAACCGGGGGGTGACGAAGAACTTGTGTAGATTGATACAGCAGGAGTGGAAGCCGTTTATTGCAGGACAGGAGCAGTATTTATACATTCCACACAAATGTTAGAGTCTGTAAACAAGTCAAAATAACACCTGGCATTTTGCCAGGGGAATGTTAGAGTTCGTAAACAAGTCTGGATGGTGCCTGGCAAAATGCCAGAGGGAGTGGTTTGAGAAGTAACAAAAGCGAGCCATTAAATGTGGAGATTCCTTATTGGTTGACTGATGTATCTAGTTTATGCTAATTAGATAAGCTGTGTGGAATGTATAAATACTGCTCCTGTCCTGCAATAAACGGCTTCCACTCCTGCTGTATCAATCTACACAAGTTCTTCGTCACCCCCCGGTTATTTTGCTGCAGCCGGACTGCGGCAAGATAGAAGATGAGACAGATGGATAACCACTTATTTACAAGTTATGTTGCAGAACACAGAAAGGAACATGAGATATCAGAGGAGGTCTTTGTACAAACGAATATACCTCTAAGCTGTATTCCTTCTCAGAAGAGTAGAATGCCCTTCTCTTCTTAGTTTATACACACATAGATATTTAGTTAAAAGTGATATGTTGGCTATTATACTGGGAAGATCATATTCAGAAAGAATTGGATAGAGTTTTGATCTTCAAAAATCTCAGAGAAATAGTAATTAAACAAATAAAATTTATGATCTGAATTGGGACCTGGATAGAAGTGAGAATCACCCTCTCTCCCCTGAGCCACACCCCCAGCCCTTTAAATACATTTTAAAAAGAAACTCCTTGCCAACAAGGCATGATGGATATGTGAGTAATTGCAGCTACTTTGGATGAGGATCATGAGTTCAAGTCCAGTTGGGCAATGTAGCAAGACCCAGTCTAAAAAAATCTGTCCCATATCATGATCAAAAATGGAAAACAATGAACTGGGGGTATAACTCAGAGGTAGAGCACTTGGCTAGCATATGTGAGGCCCTGGGTTAAATCCTCAGCACTGAAAAATAAATGAACAAAATCACATGACATAGAGTCTAAAAATAAATACAATGAAAAAATAAACAATTATGAAACTCTTGCAATGAAATAATAATGGAGGTGAAAAGGTGCTTACCACTACATTATAAAGCTGACATGTGTTTTTTGTTTATTTTTTAAGAGTTGGGAAAGGAATTATTCCTGCTGCCTTGCAAGGAAGACCCTTTACTGTAGTGCTGGCTTTTGATATTAAGATGCTAACAGAAGAAGTTCAGAGACAGCAAAATGTCATGTTTGAGAAAATGGATAACAGAGGGTTTGGAGAGGCAGACACTGAGGGACAACAGATCCAAAGTCAGAAAGGAATTGGAGGATTTGGTGAAAGAGATTAGTGGGACAGCTTCCATTAAGAAAGAGCTCTATGGAAAATTTGAAGATGTTTAGTTGGATTTTATGGCAATTATCCTTTGGATGTGTAATGTTAGTATTCGCTATGGCCACTACAAAGTGCACTTTCCATATGCTTTTTTTTGCTATTGTAAACTAAAACACATATATTTCTGTTATTATTTTTTTGTAAAAGTTTGTCCACACATTACTAAAATACTCAGGGCAGCATCACTGATCTTTAGCCAATAGTCAGAAGAACTGACTGTGGAGGAAATGCCAGTGATTCAAAATGGTCAACTTGGCCTATATATCAACTGTGCCACCTTGGTTGCACAACATTGTAAAATCTTGAAAAATCTGTATATACCTTGACTGTTAGAAATAATGAATTAATGTATTAAAAAACATGAAGTACAGTGCCCACTAGTTACTCATATCATACACCCAAATCAGGGCAGAAGGAAGAATTCCCCCCAGCTCTGAAGACTCCTATTTCAGTGTTTTTTCCATCTGCAAATGACTAGAATCTGTACAAAATATGAAACCTATTTCCTTACCTCCTCCTTAACCCATACTTATCTCTGGCTATAAAATCTAGAAACCTGGAAATCTACTTGACTAACCATTCTTTTACTTGCTCAATGTGGTACTGATACATACATCACAGTTCTATTTCTACTGTGACATGCACTGTACCAGGTGCTAGGGATGCAGTGTAAGAAAACAGAATCTCTTGACACTAGGAAGATTAATCTGGAAGATGAGACATATGAATAACCACTTATTTACAAGTTATGTTGCAGAACACAGAAAGGAACATGAGATATTAGAGGAGGTCTTTGTACAAACTAATATACCTCTTTGGGCTTTGGCTTTCTCATCTGTAAAATGGTGCTGGTAATACTAAGTATATGTTTCATAACATTGAATGAGGCTATAAAGTGCTTGGCTCAGTGTCTGGCAAGTGTGAAATGGTTACTGACAGTATTATTGTCATTATCATCATCATCATTATTTTTAATAGTTAAGAGACTTTATTCTAATAGCTATAATTTCAGTGCTTGTCAAAATGAAAACTAAAAACAAGTATACAAAACAGTTGATTACTAATCATGTATTGAAAGCATTAAGAGGTTCCACAACACCAAATAAACCAGTTCTGAGGTTTCCCCAAGATAAATTTAACAGCTCCAGCTTCTTCAGTGTTTATCAAAATATAAAAGAAAAAAGTAGAGGTTGTCTTTTTTGATGGCAAATTGGAACTTTGCAGGCTGAGGGAGGAAGCTACTTCACACATGGAGATGGGGGTGATCTGGGACCTGTGGGTCTGGAGTGGACCAGCCCTCCCAGCTTGCACGCACTCTTGCTGGGGAGACCAAGACCTCCTGCCAGCGTGCTGAGCAGGTGCAAGAGTGAGTGGGTGCTGGGAACATGGGCTGCTGTTCTGGCCACATGTCAACCAAGGGCGTGTCTGGGCCGTGTCCCCTGCAATGGCTCTCCCAGCCCGCCCTCAGGTGACTGTGTGAGCACAAGTACAAGCACAATGCTATGGAATGCAAGTGACCCAAAGACAGGAGAGTCACGGGGTTTCTACTGCGACCATGCAGTGGATGGCGGTTGTGTCACCGTCTCGTGTTCCCAGAGGGGAACAGCTGATCTGATGGACTAGTATTCAGGCTGTAAACTGGGCATAGTCTCCCTTCTGTGTGTTCAAGTGTTCTCCTTATCTTGTATTTTTAACTATTTTGAAAAAGGCACTGAGTTTGGGTTAAAAATCAACCACCATATGGATCCCATCACCAATCTACAGCCCAGGAGCTCCTGGAGGCCAGGTGCCCACATGCCTAAATCCCTCCTCAGTACTGACAGTGAGTTGATTCTCTTTTTACAATAAAAAAGCTGAGTAATATTGCATAGGAGTACCAGAAATTGCCTCAGTGGAAACAGAAACTATTTACATTAAATAAAAACCTGGCTGCAGGCTGCGTCTGCACATGTACAGCACAGTGCGATGCACACTGATCAACCCATGGAGACAGCTTCTGGCACTCAAGACCACAGAGTCTCACGTTTGCCACATGAGAGGAAAGCAAGGGTGGAGAGGAGGAAGTGAGGGGGTGGGGGGTTCTGGTTCACTTCTGGTTCCGGACCTGATTGGACAGCCAGTCCAGTCCTTCATAGAGCCCGTCCCCGCTGGTGGCACAGGTGGCCTGAATGTACCAGTTCCTGTGCAGCCCCAGCTTATCTGTGATTTCGGCCGCATTCATGGCATTTGGGAAGTCCTGCTTGTTGGCAAACACCAGGAGGACGGTGTCCCACAGCTCATCCTCAGCCAGCATCCTCATGAGCTGCTCGCTGGCCTCATTCACATGCTCTCTGTCATTGCTGTCCACCACAAAGATCAAGCCAAGGGTGTTCTGGAAGTAGTGGTGCCTTAGTGGCCAGATCTTGTCTTGGCCACCCACGTCCCACACAGGGAAGCTGATGTTCTTGTACTCAACAGTCTCCGCATTAAAACCTATGGTGGGAATGGTGGTCACAATTTGACCCAGCTTCAGTTTGTACAAAATCGTCATCTTCCCTGCAGCATCCAGGCCCACCATGAGGATGCGCATTTCTTTTTTCCCAAAAAGGCCCTTGAAGAGGTTTGCAAAGATATTCCCCATCCTTGTGGGTGGTTGGAAGCGACACTGGCCAGAGATCTCAGCAGCGGCTGCTCCAAGACAGGCGTTGGTTTCACTCCCACAAGATGGCGGCACTGATGGCCATCATCATCATCATTATTACAGCCATGTCTTCACTGGGCAATGAGTAAGATTTCAATATATCCTACTTTTTATTTTATTAAATTATAGTAAGTCATGAGTAATTAATCATGAATAAACAGAATCTTCTCTATTCTGCCTGAAAATAGTTCTGTCAAAAACAATGAAATCAGAGATTTCCAAACTCATCCTCCTTGAGCAGTGAAGTCCTGTGTTTTCTCTGAAGGACAGGAGTTTATATGCTATGAGCATAAATTAGAGCTGCTATAATTGGAGTTCATACAATCACAATGAGGCCTTAAGATTTAACACTACTCCTTTTGTTATTCTTCTACAGAAATCTCTGTGATCCAAGCATACCTGCTAAGGTTTAGGAAGAGTCATTCACACTGTCTGTGTTAGCTACACAGCAATGTGGAGGGGACTCCTGGTGTTCTATCACAGGTCAAGGATCAGGGGTGAATTAGGGCTGGGAGCTGGATTTCCAGTTCTGTCTTATCCATTTTATCCATACAAATAAGTCCTGGACCTAATTACATTTGTGTTATGAGGACTGACAATAGGCAGACAATCCTTTACATCTACTTTTACTGGACAACAACAGACATTATCAGCAGTGGAATCCTGACCTCCAGTGGATATTAGGGGAAATAGTACTATTCTGGATAGGTTCTTCAGAAGCCAGCATTTTGGCTTGCTGCTCTTCAGCATGTCTGGAAGCCAGAAGATACCTGGTTTCTGTCTCCAGGGAGTCCAGGAATAAGCCTTCTGTCATCAAAAAATACTTCCATTAGAATACTTTGCTCTGCAATAAGAGTTTCAGGCATCATATCTAGGCACTACTGCATCTATCAGAAAAAAAGGTTAACTTCTCCTGTGTTTCCCTTCAGGAGCAACAAAATCCTTCTCAGAAATCCCATCTGAAAATTCGATTTCCATTTTCATTTTTCTGAGCCTCAATAAGATCATGGTCCATTTGGGATATTAGTAATAAACGTCTATCATCTTCCATCTGAGGCAGAAGAAAGGGTTAAAATGGTCAAGCAGGAAATTTGGGCTCCTTTGAGGTCAGGTCTCTGTGTAGCAAGGCTGAAAAACTATAGACACAAACCAGGCCCCATCAAAGTCAGGCTGTATCCTGTGTAAGGAGGGTGTGGGGAGAACTGACAGACATATACTGTCTGGTATTCACATCCCCACCAAAAAAGGTATGGTAACCTGATCAGATCAAAAGGTATGAGAAGAGCTCATGGACACTATATGCCTTACTCAGGATGAATTTGGAGCTAGCTTCCTTATAAACTCTTAGACAATAGTCATCATCTGGCATTCCTCCTTTGGGACCCCCCCCATGGAAACTCTGCTTGCTTGCTTTCTATTACTCTAATAAATCCTGTCACTTTGCTCTCACCCTTGTGTCTGTAGATTTCATTCTTTGAATTTGTAAGACAAACAACCCAACTCCATACATTTTTAGTGCTACACATCCACTAAAAAAATCAACCCCCTTGACAGCTCCAACCTATGTTGGATAATGAGGAAATGATGGAGACAAAAATTTTGTGCTGGTCTTTGGGACCTAAATAAAATAGTGTTTTCCCAAACCTGCATGCTGGGCACTGTGTTAGATTCTAGGATGTAAAATAGTAAATGAAATTCATGCTGTCTGCTAAAAGAGAGAAAATAAAGAAGTCCTGAACGAGTCAGGGAAAACTTGGTTCACAAAGTACAGATTTTAATTCTTTTTATTTTGTTATGGAATGCTTCACGAATTTGCGTGTCATCCTTTCTCAGGGGCCATGCTAATCTTCTCTGTATTGTTCCAATTTTAGTATATGTGCTGCCAAAGTGAGCACAATCCTAGCTTTTAATTAGCATAGTGAGCTTGGTTACTTGCATACTACTTCTCTTCATCTATACCCTATATCATAAGAAACCTGGTGTTTTGTTTTGGATACTGGGGTTTGAATCCAGCAGCACTTTATCACTAAGCTACATCTCCAGTCCTCTTTATTTTTCATTTTGAGACAGTGTCTTACTAAGTTGTGCAGGCTGGCCTCCAACTTGAGATACTCCTGCCTCACCCTGCTGAGTCCCTGGGATTACAGGCATGTGCCACTGCACCTGGCAAACCCTATTTCATTCATTTGAATCATTAGTGTTCTAATACCAGAATGAGAACCAGGGAATCAGGGTCTTGGAGTGGGATGGAGACTTTGTAATTTATGTTATTTTCTGATTTTTAAAATTATGTGGAAGTATTACATAATCAAAAACAAAACTAATTCACATGGCAGCAAATCTAAAACATAACACAATGACCCAAAAATGGAGAAATGTCATACATTCTACCATGATTCAGAGATGTCTGCTGATAATCCTTTTGTGTGTTTTATTTATCTTTCTAAACTTCGAACTATCCATATGCATGTACACACACTCACACACATACATCCTCAGGAAATTAATTAAAAAATAAAAATATGTATGGGTAAATGGCAGAAAGATCAATAGAGGATTGGGAGCAGAGTGTGGGGAAAGGGAAGGGAAAGGAAAGGTACTATAGTTTAAATTAGAACATGATGCATTCCATGCTTGTATAATTACATCAAAATGGATTCTACTGTCATATGTAACTAAAAGAACCAATAAAATAAAATAAGAAACATTTCTCTATTTCAAAAGCTGTTTTTTAAATGGGTCTTACAAGATAAACAGATATGTATGTCAATGATGACTGCATCATTATTTCTAATATCTTTGTGATATTTGACTCCATGGACATAGCAGAAGTCATTTAATCACTTCTTTACTAGATAAACATTTATAAATTTCTATGATTACAGTGCTAATACAGAACAGTGCAAACAGCGTGCTAGATCTTGAGTAAAATGGATGGGGATGGGCTAGAGTGGTAGTTCAGTGTCAGAGCGCTTACCTAGCATGTGTGAGGCACTGAGTTCAATTCTCAGCACCACATATAAATAAGTAAAATAAAGGTCCATTGACAACTGAAAAATAATTTTAAAAAATGGATGGAGATTCTCTTGATCAATATATTGATTTACTTAGAGAGTTACTGATATTTTTACCAAGTGAAGGTTATAAAATATTTTAAATACACAAAAAATAAAATTAACAATTATTTATTTCTACATGAGTGTATTATAATAGACATAACCCATACAGCCTGGTACATCTCCTTCAACCTCTCCACCCTTCTTGACCTCCTGTTCCTACCCAAAACGTAAATGATTAAAAAAAAAAAAACAGGTTAGGATTTTGTATGTTTTCCCTTCAAATTCCTTTGCATTCTTCAAGCATATCAAAGACTTAAAAAACAAACAGATTCTCCAACCTATCCCTTTGCTGTCCAGGGCCCTGTAACCTCCTGTCCTTTTTCCTCACGAATCACCCATCAACGCCAATCACCACTCTAGAGGTGGCAGCCCACTCTTTTGCACATATCATCATTCCCAAGCACTGAAGCATTTAAGGGGTCCCAAAAAGTACTGATGTATTTTCCATGTAATAGAAATAATTAGGGCACCACACAGAGAAGCCCACCTTCTTTTCATTCCCTACTCTCCACCCTCCCCTCGTCCCACCCCGCCTTAAGACCAAATTTAAGGTTCATTTTCCCTAACTCTCCCTTTCTCAGTAACCGGAAAACCATGACCTTTTGTATTCAGGAAGAAATAGTTATAGCCAATCACTACCCCTTTCCGGAGAGCTAGGGCTGTAGCCACTCTAGCATGCCAAGGGGATTCTTTCTCTCTGTGGTTTTAACCCTGTCTCTCCTAGGGTGGCCAAAAAACATCAAGTGAGCACTTGGCTGTACAAGTGTGTGATAGTCCATAGCATGGACTTGGTGGACTAGAGAAGGAAAGAGAAGGGGAGGGAAAGAGTATGGCTTAATAGCAGAAAGTAATATATTGTATAAGCTTTTCTACCAGATCTGTATATCTTTATACAAGTGTCTTTCTCTTTCTTCTTTGCACAAATTGGGAAGGCAATAGGTTACATAGTGGGTTCAGATCTTGGGTACTAGGGCCAGACTGGTGCGTGGTTTCAGCAGTGTCATTTGCTATGTGTTCAAATTGACTGAGCTCCCTCAATTTTCCCATGTATGAATTTGGAAATAACAGTACCTACATCAAAAGGTTGTTGTGAGAATTAAGGTGTGTGTGTGTGTATGTGTGTGTGTGTGTGTGTGTGTGTATTCTTTTTTCAGTGCTGGGATCTGAACCCAGGGCCTTGTGCAAGCTATGCAAGCACTCTACCACTGAGCTACATCCCCAGCCCAAGAAGTATTAAAACAGAATTGACCCAGTATTATGTATTATTATAATGCACCAATAAAAAACAGTACCGTCATATCCTAAGTGTCCAATAAGTGCTACTATCAATATCTCTATTCAGATTTTTATGTGTGTGTGGGTGAAGATGGTCTCCTTCTTTTTTTGCTGTTGTTGTTTTGTTTTTTGGCAAAGCTGGAGACTGAAGCCAGACATGCTAGACAAACACTCCATCAGCAAGCTACATCCTAAGACAATCAATATCTTCATGTAAATCAATGCAGAGCCAGTTGGTCTAAAATCACTGTTTGAAAGCTTGACATGATGCCTCAAATATTCCTGGTTTTGACATTTTTTTAAATTTTAATTTTTATTTATATATGACAGTGGAATGCATTACAATTCTTATTACACATATAGAGCACAATTGTTCATATCTCTGGTTGTATAAAAGTATATTCACACCCTGGTGTTGACTTTTTATGAAACACTCACAATTGTAGTGTGAGTGTGTGTATGTGTATGTACATCCAAGCTGCCTGAAATGACGGTTTAAAATTTTAAAAAAATATTATTTTTTGTTTTCTGCCTGGATCTATCTCAGAGCTGCATGTTTTGTCAAGGAAATATCCATGCTCCATTATG